TGGAACTGAAAATATGGATGGAGGACAACAGAGCTGCTTCATGGAAGAAGAACCTCAGCTTAGCCTGTTAGCCTTTGCGCTAGCTCAGACGCTATATTGCCTTATATGTATTAGCTCGGTGCTAGCGCGACAAACAAGCTAAACTGAGGTCCTCCATCCATATTTTCAGTTGCAGGCTGAGTCACTTTTGTGTTCCCCTCTCTGTCATGTGGATGGAGGACCTCAGAGACAAGAGGAGATGACTAGGCTGTCTCATGGCAGGAGTACAAGTCAGGGTGTAGCAGCCAGACAGGTTTTATGGAGCAACGCTGAGTGGTAATGTCTTCAGCTCATTACGTGAGGTTCTCCTGACAGTGCAGAGCAAACGACGAAGGATTATTATGATCCTGAAGGCTGCGGGACGATGAAAAGCAGTGGATGAGACCGTGCAGCCAAGCAGTAAATTAAAACACACTGAGACCTTGACAGCCATTATATTCAGTGGCTACAGGGAAACATCTGCTTTGGTGCTTTCAGTGTCCAGTTCCACGTGGCCAGGGGCTTTTTCAGGTACATGCATGGAAGTACTTAGAGCTTTCTAATACAGTAACTCTGACGTTTTCAGACTCAAGGTCAGTGGCTACTGAGCCAAACAAACTGGTAATGTTGCAACAAGCTCACTCTTTTTAATGCCCTCATTTTTTTATTTATAGTGGATTTATCATAGAGTTTGAGAGAAAACATCCCGTACAAAATTTTAAAATGCTTTTTATAATTGTTTATACTTTGTTACAACATGCACTAAAATTAAATCATAATCTGTTGTCTAAGGCATAACATATTTATGCAATTAGTGATAACTTTGATATACTTAGACTAAAAAGCAAACAAATTTGTGTTTGGTAGAGCTGGGCAGTATACCGGTTAGGATCAAAAACAGTTTTTTATTATTGTTATGATGTGAATTTTACGCAATACCRGTTTAAAAAGCCTGAACACGTTCAGAATGTTACGAACCGCCAGTAAACTGTTTCATGGGGGACCCTTTTTTGTGCAGCACAACTGGACGCGCACACAGGAAATGGAGCTGCAAACAAGGTAAGCTAGTGTCGCAGATTTCTTCGCTTGGCTGACAAAAAATAAATAAAAACTCCCATTTTCGCCATCGCTGAATGTAGAAAACACGTCTTCAGTGACGTACATAGACTTGTTCGAGACTGTACCTCCCACCCCTCACTGCTAACGTGACGCAAGCCCAAAATGTGCGACAGATGTCTACAACCAGGAGGGAAGAAAAGATGGAGGGAAAACATGACAGTGATGTACGGTAAAAGAAAAAAGTCAAGCCTGAGCTGTGATGGAAAAAAAACCACTATTCAAAATCATCATGACAGATATTTGTCAAAAAATACTGTGATATAAAATTTAGGTCAAGCCGCCTGACACATTTCGGTAGATTTGTTTGTTGTAACAACGCTTCTTGGCAATTAAAGCAGGCACCTGATTGGCAGCACCTGGAGGTACCAGACGCTCAGGACGGGTCAACAGCAACAGCAGAATAAGCTGTTTGATTGAAAAGATTTGCCAAATTTTTCATGTGCACAACCCATATACTCAGCTCTGCTGCTCATCCCACAAATGCATGTTCCTTACAAATGTGGCACCATTTCAAAGGGAAATATAAGACTTAAGTTTAATTTGGAAAAATGCACCAATCATCATAAATTTAATTACTAAATCTGTTCAGTTTTTTTAGATAATGGCGACCAGAGTAAAGAACGACGGAGCAGTGGCGTTTGTTTACAAGATAAGTAAGAGCAGGGACAAAGTGGGACCCTGTCTGGTCCAAAGCAGCTGATAAGAGCTTGGCATCCTCATCACATCCCACTTGAGCGGCCTGTCAGACGGAGCTGAATGAGGCGGGAGAAAGGAACACGACCTGACAGCTGGACACACAAACAGATCTACTCCCTGACTTTCACACTGTTGCTCTGGTTGAACCATCACTCACGCCTCTCCTGTTTTTCCTGTTACATACTCATCCCCCTCATCCTCTGTCAAAACAAACACGGGGACAGAAATGGAGGAGAACAGACCCTTCTCATCTCAGAATGCTCAGATCAAAGGTTTAGCTGGTTTCACCAGCAGCATGCCATCGAGAGGTAAAAACAAACAAGCAGCTGAAACGTGAGCAGTTTGACATCAGCAGGCTTGTGTGGTAAACACATGAAGGACTGCACATCCAACTCACTACACAAAAATTAACCAGTGTTCACATTCTGAAAGGTTTTTTTTTCTTTTCTAAAAGGTAACGAGGCATCACGCAGAAACAAGAAGGAAGTCATTGCTTTGAAAAAATGCTTGTTAGCTGAGATTTAGACTAAAATCATCTTATGTTGCGAAACTAGTTTGGTCTAATATTGAAAATAACATTGTGTGTGATATTTCACCAGACTTTACATCATTTGTTTGTAGAGTATGTGTTTTAAATAGGGATTCACCGATATAAAATTTTCAGCCGATATCGATATTTACTGATATTACACAAAAATACAAATTATTACACTTGGGTCTTTTTTTAATACCATAAATAAGCGACTAGACCTCTGACATGGCTCTACTTCAGTTATTCCTGGCTACGCAGCATCAATATCACTATCATGTTACTCAACCAACCATCTCCCCTCCCAAAACAGAAACACAAAGCTAAAAAGTGGGAAATCAATAACGGACGTTAATATCAGCCCAGTTTTACATATCTGACCGATACGATATTTAAAAAAAAAAGATTAATATCAGCCAATACTGATATTAATGCTGATATATCGTGCATCCCTAGTTTTAAATGACTGTCAGCTACTACCACACCAAACTTTAGCTAAATATCTCTAAAAATGGACAAGTTTTGGCTACTTTTATAATTTTTTAAAGTCAGTTGCCATCCATCCTGAAGTAAGTTGAATCTAAAGTTACCGTAATCTATTGTAGATGTCAGCCCAAGTCATTACAATCTGTTCAACGACTCATCAGATATTTTGCTAACAATGCAGGCAAACAAATAAATGACAATAATAATTACAGAAAGTAAAGTCCCAAATCATAACCAAAGCAATTACAGTTTAAAAACAACTTTAAATGAAGACATGGTGGATGAGGAATTTAATAAAATCTTCAATAAATTTTGCCAAAACAAAATGTTGCAGAAAATGGCAATATCAACGGCAACTTGTTTTTTTTTTTCTTTTGGAATTTGAGCTTTAAGAAAAACATAAGCTTGTGTCGGTTTGAAAACCACAAAGTTTACAAAACTGTAACCTTCTTATGAGTCGCTAAGAACTGAGTTTATGTTACACTAACTGCCTCCTGACATTCAAAATCTTTAAATATATGTGACGGCATTAATGATGCCATCACGTATGACATTAATTAGTGTCTAAATGTGCACACAAGTAGAAAAGCAGTGAAAAGTTTAAAAATATGCAGTATAATTTATTACCAATACAGTTTAACAGCTTTGAAATATCAGCATTTTCCCTAAGTCTATAAGCATCCTTTAAASCCTTATGTGATTAAACTGGCAGAAAAATAAGCATCAGTCTCCTTTCTGTGATTGCTTTTAGGAGGTTGAGAGACTGCAGAGCTCCACTGCTTTAAGACTGAACACAACGTGTATTTAAATATAATCATGGTCATTAACTGTGTAAAATGAAGCAGAGTACAGAAGAGGATTTCTGTCAGAGATTTTTTTAAAAAGTAAAGAATAGCTGCTGACAAACCAAAACTCTAAACTGAAATGAGCTCGACTATGTTGACCTTTGCTCTGCCATTCAAATAGAACAAAGAGTGGTCGAGAATAGAAGGAGCACCATTGTAGACCGGACTAAAATCACACACGTTCCCTTTCTGATGACCTTTTACTCAAAATACACTCAGTCTATGGTTACATCAGTGTACAATGATGCTGATGATGATTGGCCCAACAAAACAAAACTGTTAAAAAACAATAACAAAAGTGGGTTTYTTCAATAGATGAAACTAAACGTTAACTTTTTACATAAAAAATCAAGTAAATTAGGGCCAATTTTTAAATTTTTGTAATAAATGCATACTTTTATTAGCTAATAATATTTAAAGCCTGATTTTAGCACTACAGGAGAGCCCTCCCTGTCCCTCCTGAGGACACTGAATGAGTAAATTTGTATGTATGAATGCATATATAGCAATAAATACCAAACAATTAAAGGGAAAGAGTGTATCTGATACAATAAATGTTGTCTACAATAGACTCTAAACTTCATAAAACAATAAATGAAATGTATCAGAAGCAACTAATTTTTAAAATAACCTTTTGGCAAAATAGTCAATTAATTTGCATAATCGAACTCTGATGCCGACCAAAAAATCAAACTCTGGTCCGCCAACAGACCTAGGTTTCTGCTCGATTGAAGTGAACTCTGGTGCGGTTCGAATGCAAATGTCGAGTGAACCAGAGACCGCTCAAAAAGCAGGAAGTGGACTATGGCGCAGGGCATTCTGGGTAAACATGCATGTTTAGCACTTGCTTGTGGACATTTGCCAAAGACAAAAGAGAAATCCAACAATGGCTAAAATTTGAGGCCACTTCAGTTTTGTTTACACTTCATGAAGAAGGAAGTTGCGCTCAGTGTCTTCTTCAGAGGTTTTTGTTGTTTTGTTCACTGGTTCTTGGTGCAGCGCCCCCCACAGGCGAGGTGGTAAACAGGTAGTTTTGACACAGTGCAGCTGAAAATATAAACAAATTCTGCAATTTTGATTCCCAATCCAACAACCGACTATTCGTGGAAGCAATTCTGCAATAGGCTCAAGAAATGCAACTCGTTTTAAAATTAAAATACAGGTAAAGCATGTTTTCTGGCTCTCACGTGGATCTTACTCAAACAGCCCCAGTCCAAACCCAGACTGTTATTTTGATGACAGAAGGGAAAATAATGACTAACAGGTGCATGAACATCATGTTTAAAACACAAAGCTGTGGACCTTACCTGGAGAAGTTCAGTGGAGGAGCTGCTCAGTTCGTCTCCAGACTCGGACTCGTTGGTGCGCCTCTCTTCCCCCGCTGAGTCGCAGAGCTGGGTGCTGTCCACGTCCAGAGGACACCTCACCATCTCAGGTGAGCGGGCTCGACTTCGGGGCAGCGTGCCGGACCCCTCTTTATGGGAAGCCTGGGGGCCGCTTTCCTGGACGAGGATTCCAGGCAGGGCCCGGTCACTTTCGGTAGGGATGCCGGGGGAGCRATTGTTATTGTTCTGGCGGCCAGTCGGAGGGCTGAAGTTGCCTAATGGGGCAGTTTGTGCAGAAGGAGAACGCCGGGATTTGGATTTGTGTCTGTTGAGGTTCTCGGCAGGTCCCAGCTCCACACCAGCTGGTTTTTTAACACCACGTGGTTTGGGGGGTGGCATGAGGGCTTTGCGGACCTCTCTGACATATTGAGCAGGTACATAAAAAGGTTTAGTTACGTCGTCCTTCCTCACCTGCCACCAGTCCTCGTTGGTTTTTTTGACCAGCATGTAGCATTCCCCCTCCCGGATGGTAATGACACGGTCCTTGGACTTGTACTCATAGTCGTACTCCACCTCGATGTAGATCTCGCCGGGGGCAATAGGCAAGTCTGCCATGATGCCTCTGACTGTCCACAAGGCGGCTCAGCACAACAGGGGAACGGTTGTTACCATGGCTCAGTGGCACAACTGGAAACAAAAAGATTCATCTCATTATGACAGTTTTAAAATATTTAATAAACAGCTGAGTCTTACTGAACACAGTCATAAATAACACAAACTGTAATATGTATAAGATCTTTACAATTTAATGACTAAAGACCCACATTACGAAAAGTAAGTCACTTATTTTGGTTACTTACAAGATTATCAGAAAATTTTAAAAGAATTTTGAACCAAATCATTTTAATACATCAATGTTGCTGAAATGTTTGACTAAACAGCCTCCTGTCTGTCATGATCAAAAATCCACATTTATCTTCGTTCGATGGTTGAGTTTTCACTAGGACGGCCATATAACAACTCATCGGGTACCAGGTACTTACACTTTAAGGTCAAGGTGTGTATCTGGTAAGTACTAAACAGATACCTCAAACAGTATGTCAGTACCAGGTACGAACCATGTAAGTATCCAGTAACTACCAGATACATCTGTAAACAACAGGTAACTTACCCTATAGGTACAATATGCATCTTGTAAGTACCTAATAGATACCYAATAGATACCTCATACAGTATTTATGTCAGTACCAGGTATGAACTATGAAAGTATCTGGTAATTACCAGATACTTACCCCATAGGAACAATATGTGTCTTGTCAGTACTTAATAGATACTAATACTTGTCAGGACTTAATAGATACATCATCTACATCAGTACCAGGTGCAAACCATGGAAGTATCTGGTAACTACCAGATATGAAGCATGCAAGTACCAGGTACTTACCCTATAGGAACAATAAGTATCTTTTAAGTAATTAATAGATACCTCATACAGCCTCTCCATCAGTAACCAAGTATAAATCAAGTTAAATCAACACAGTAACTATCAAAAATGTACCCTGTAAGTACCAGGTAAGTTCTAGGAATGAACTAGTCTCCTATGTTGTGACCCTATAAGTACCAAGTAAGTTCCCTGTAAGTACCCAGCAAGTACCAGGTCAGTAAATACCATGTACATAACCTTGTAAGTATATAGACAGTACTAGGTACATGGACTGTGAGTACTCAAGTACCATAACCCTGCAAGTACCCAGTGAATACCAGGCACATATCCTGTAAGTACCAAGTATGTGACCTGTACCAATCCAATAAGTACTAGGCACATACCCTGTAAGTACTCAGTATATACAGTGTACGTAAATAGTGGGTACAAGGTACATGCATTGCAGGTTCTCAGTTAAGTATCATGTATATAAACCTGTAAGAATCCCAAGGAATACCTGGCACGTACACTATAAGTACCCATTAAGTACAAAGCAGATGTCTATACCAGGCAAGTACCCTGTAAGTACACAATATATAAAGTACAATCTGTACTGCTAAGTTCTCCAAGAAAAATAAACACTTCCTGGTTTGTGACATTTGTTTTTAACTTGAATTCAAATCCAAATCACCAAAATAATCAGAACAGTTTAAAAAACTGCCATGTCCCCCTTTAACCCGCTAAAATAAAGCGTAGAATATGAATCTTTTTCTAAATCTTAAGATAAAAATAAACCGTAAAAGTAATTCACCCCTCTCTTCATCTCTTACGCAACACATAATCAAATTAAAGACACAAGCAATTGTTTCTTTCAAAGCTTTAGTACTCTGTGAACCCAACAGGAACAAAGAAATAAGATAAAAACTGAGAAGATTTAATCCTCTTCAGAGGATGAACGCAGAGCCTCAGAGCACAGATTAGCAGAACGGAGCGAGKGGAGGAGGAGGAGGAATGAGAGTCACACTTTCTTCTTCCGACTATGCCATCTTTTTTTTTTTTTGGAATGACAGCTGCTGCGGAGTAGGAAGATTTGTCGAGTCACTCATAGTTTTCAGCTGAAGTGTACATGTGTACACAAACACTCCCTTTAACAACATACAGGGAGGTAGYAGCACGCCCTGACCCACCTGGTCTTTGATCACAGGAGGTTATCTGGACACTGAATTTCATTTKAAATTACAGCTACAGCATAAATAASACTAAAACAAGCAGCTGAAATGAATTGCTCTGCAGCATTCATTTTTTTAACTATGATGTCATTTCGTCTCATGTTGTAAATCCAGTTCATTCCTTCCTGTAGAGCTGAGCACCTTTGTTTCTTTTCTAAAAGCTAAAACTAGGTGGAAGCAGCAGTCGCAGCAGATAGCAAGATATTTTTTTCTTCTGTACACTCTTCGGCACGTATCTCGTTCTGCAATTTTTGTGCTATTTCAACAATGTTCAGCTCATTCAGGACATTCCAGCTATGATGTTTGGTCCTTCAGCAATTTATACTTCTTGAGAGATTTATCTTTTTCTGCCATGTTTTTCACATCCTTAAAACCTTTCAAAATGTTCCCAAATCTCTACTGTACTTCATTGTGCTAATTTCAGCTTCCTTTGGCTTTTAGTTTAGCTGATTTTTTTTCTATTCACCTGCTTCCTTTCATTTAATTTATAAAATGTTTTGTTTTTTATTGTATAAAAATTTGTTCTTGTTCCAATGAATGAATAGTTTTTTGCTATTTTAGCTATCATTCTGACCTTTTCAGCTACTTTTCTGCTAATTTCAACTTATTTTTGCTTTTACCAGCTTTTATCTGCTGATTTCAGCTGTTTGTGTTTTTAGCTGCTTTTTTGGCTAATTTGAGACATTTTTGCTAAATCAACATTTGTGATAATTTCAGCTTTTTACTGCTTAATTCAGCAACTGTGCTCTTTTTGTTTCTTTGTGTTTATTTCAGCTTTTTTGCTAGTTTTCTGCTAATTTCAACTTATTTTTGCTTTTACCTTTTTTTCCTGCTAATTTCAGCTGTTTTGATGTTTTAGCTACTTTTTAGCTTATTTGACCTATTTTTGCTAAATTCACCTTTTTGTAATAATTTTAGCTTTTTACTGCTTTAATTCAGCAAATGTGTTTTGGTTTGTTCCTTTGTGCTTATTTAAGCTTTTTCAGCTACTTTTTTTTAGCTATTTTTCTGCTAATTTCAGCTGTTTTAGCCATTTTGGTAATTTGGTAAGAAACAATTCTTTGTACTTCTTTTCTTGTTTTTCTGCTTTCTTACTCTCCTTTCCTCATCCATTTAATTAATTGTTAATTTCAGCTGCTCAAATGACCCCTGTTAATTTCAAAGTCACAAAATAAAAGGTCAAGGTTACAAATTAATGATTTTCCTGCTTGTTTTGACTTCTTTTGTCTAAATTTCAGCTATATTCATTTTTTATATATTTACTCATAAATACATATTTTTTGCTTCTTTCAGCGTTTTTGCCATTTCAACATTTTTCTGCGTTTTAAACTACTTTTTGCAAATATTTTATAATTTCTGCTGATTTTAGCTACATTATTACTCTATTTAGCTTTTTGACACAATTTTGCCATTTTTCTACTTTTTGTTTTCCTGCTTTCAGCAAAAGTCAAACAGTTTCAGCTTCATTTTCGCAGGAAAATGTAAATTTTCTTGTTCAAACTTACTTTTACATTACACACAAACCAATCTCACCCTATTTTAAGCACGCATTGAATCAGTTTTTAAAGCTAATATCTCATATTTCTTCACTTCTTTCAGTTGTTTAGCTTTATAAAGACTGGTGATTAGGCTCATGGTGCCAGGATATCAGCACAGATTAAACTCTTGATTTGGACACAGAACAGTAAGTCCATTAGCTAAATGAAAAATACTCAGTGCAGATTAACAGCAAGAAGACAGAAACCCAGCAGACTAGAAGTGGCTTTCCTCTGTGACCTTTGACCTCCACATTCAGCCAGCTGACTCTGACCGGAGGATGTTTCTGTTTTTATCTAATCCTGCCAAGGACATGTAGACGTCTGATAACAACTAAAAACAGACTAAAGTTTCACAAAAACTTCAAATTCCTCTTTGTGTTGCTTTAAAATCTGACTTTATATTAGCTGCCGTCATGAAAGATAAAAATTAAAGGGACTGGAAGCCGGAGCTCACAGCATTACTGCAGGTGAACACCTGTTCTCTGAAGAATCTGAGAAATCTGAAACATTGGATGGCCACAGCAGTTAGACCAGAAATGACTTCCTGTCCTTACACAACACTTCCCTTCGTCGTCCCGCAGAGTTTTAAAGGTAAAAAACAAAACAGTCTGAAGCCCGATCTTTAAAATAGCAAACTACAAAACGATCAGCTGCAGATGAACGTCCAACTACATCCTCCCGCACCTTTTCATGGTCAGAGGTAATAAAAAGCTTTCGAGGGGTTACTGGGGCTTGTTGTCTTTTCTTTTTTTTTTTTTTTTTTTTTTTTTTTTACTTATCTCCATCTGGACTAAGCTCGAGTTTCAGCCATGCTGTTCTATAGACCAAACAAATCTTCTCAAAGTCCGATCAGCAAAATCAGAGCGTGCACCTTTAATTTAAAGTGATAGTAATAAGATTTACGCAGGGGGATGAAACTCTTTGGGAGGGGACGTTAAAAAAAACAAAGCAGAGGAGATTCTGTGAGTGGAAATATTAAACGTGTTGAAATACCACATGAAAGAAAAAACACACCTTCATGTGTGACC